TTACTTCGGGGCCGGGGGAAGGGTGCTGAAGGTGATAGATGATGCCTTGGAAACGGTAGGTGATTCCTGAGGACTGGCCTCCAGGAATGATTGTAGCTTCTACTTGAGAGTTTATGAAGAATCGTTGTGCCTGGTTTGAGTGAGAAGGTTTGAACATAAGTATATCAGATTTTCAGCTCAAATAAGTTTGTTCTTAATACAAAAGATTTGATTTTGTAATTTTGGAAATTTTCCTGAAGTGGATTTTGTGATTGACTCCACAGAAAGTGAGAGGGGTCTTTGAGTAAAGCAAGGTAAATTTTTTTCGCAATATTCTGTGTATGCGTACATATATTTTAAAGATATCTTCAGCTTTCTAACAAACCAAAAGAACATTAGTTCTTAGCGAGTAGGTAAACTATATTGGCCGTCTAAAGATACTGAGCAAGTGTCTTTTCCCGGAAGTGACCTCCCCTGTTCTCAGAGCAGAACCTCTCCTAGGAATGTGCTAGATAAGATAAATGGCGATTATGAATAGTTTTAACCTGTAGGTTCATGCTTATGGTTTCACAACTAGCGTTTGGTGGTTAGTCAAAGTACTCTTCATACACAACTCTTTGTTTCTTTCAGTCTTGCTGTTATGGTAGAAAAAAGCATGTGTTTTGACATTAATGAGGTCTAGGTTTGAATCCTGTCCCAAGCATTGTGTCTTTGAATAAGCTACTTGACCTCGATTTCTCAACTGTAAAATAAGAACGTTGTTCATGTTTGTAGCTAGGACTCATTAAAGTGATGTGTGTCTGCCGTAAAGTAGGCAATAATTTAAGTGTTCTTTTCCTCTACCTTGTTGCTTTGTTAGTTGACATTAACAAAGTGTTCAGGTGAGAACAGAAGAAATTTGCACTATTTTTATTTTAAACAAGTAGCCATGATGTCTCTGTTCACATTAATAAAGAAAAAAATTGGTTCCTCACAGCTGTTTTGTTTCTGTTGTGTTTTTTGGTTTTCTTATGTGAGATCAAATTAGCATGACTCTGCTTTTAGTTTTTAGAAAGGACAGACTGGGGATAGTTTGTACAAAGTCGCTGAGCTGAGCGTATGAATGAAGCAGTCAGTCTGTTAAGAAGGATGAAAATACGGAGAACTTGTGAAGCTGGTGGTTTCTATCTGGCCTCTTGTCTTCTCAGTGAAGTTGCAAGTGATCTGTTGGTAAGAGTGAGGAGGCTGGGGAGGAAAGCTGTGGTCAGGAGCCGGCTGGGATGAGTGAACATGCACAGCAGCATGGAAAGCATCTTGCTGTAGCGCTGATTCTTTTGAGTTTTACTTCTCCTTTGAATGTGATTGTAATTACTTTTTAAAAACACTAAAGTCAAGCCCATTTGGTTCTTTGGGCCTGCAATTGCAGTAAATAAAAATCTGTCATACAAAAATAGTCATTCTCATGTTTTCCCCCACAGTTCTTATTTGTCAATTTTCTCCATACCCATAATTTTTAATTCATCTAGTAAATGCTAATCAGGGTATGAGTTTATTCTAAAAGAGTGACCCATAGTAAACAGGAAATTTCTTTTTTTAAAAATTTATCCCTTGCCTTTGTATAGCACTTAAAGTGTACAAGAATAGTTCTGAAGTCTTAGGAAGCCTTCCCTTAAGGAACTTAAGTTCAGAAACTGGTTAACCATCAAATTACAGTGTGGTGAATGCAATAATAAAAAATAAAATACCATATAATACTGTAATGTTAGATCACAGAAGCAAGTGAAGGAAAACTATTCATTCTGCTTCAGTTGATCTTTCTCATTTTATTCATTTTAAAAGAACATGAAGCCTACACCATTGTTGACTTTGAACACAATAGAAAACTTGTTACCCTCATAGAAACAATATTCTTAAACTACATTCTTGGACCTTAATATGCTCTCTTATCTTTTTATTTAAGACTATATATTATTATTGGTATCTTTATATTAAAGTGGTGGTTCTCAGACTTTAGTTTTTATCAGAATCACCAGGAGAATTTACTAAAATAGACTTCATGCATCCTACCTCAAGAGTATCTAATTCAGTAGGTCTGGGGTAGACCAAATATTTACATTTCCAACAAGTTCCCAGGTGATGCTGATGGTGTACTTTGAGAATACTGACTTGGTCAAACTCAAACATTTTTAATGGCATCCTAGTATAAACCAGTAATTGTTTCAAATCCAATTAGTATCACATTGGCTCTTCCAGCATGCGTTTGAGCTCCTATGTGCCAAGCACTGGGCTACTCTTTACACAGGTGAAGAAGATGAGCAACCTCCCTCCAAGAGCCCAGCTAACAGTGGTTTAAACTCAGTCATAGGAATTTATGAATTAGGCATATAATCCTTATTTTAGATGGAAAAAAAAAAAATGAACTCTACAAAGGTTAAATAATTTCCCAGAATTCACACAGTGAGTATATGGAGAAGCCAGAATTTGCTAATCTGCTTTCCTGGTTAAGCAGTATAAGAAGTTTGTGAAGATCTGTGGATCACTGGAGACTACCTTAGGAATCGGGACTACCTTAGGAAATCAAGGCAGCCCAGAAAAGATGGCACTAGAGCATCTAAGGAACAAGTGAAAGATGCCTTGGAACTGTCCGCATTTCCAGCTGGGGAGCAGTTCTGCAAAGGCATGGAAACCCGGGAGAATGCGTGTTCCACAGACCAAAATACGTATCTGAGACCATAACACTGTAGGCCGAATGGCATGTGAGGGGAGATGAGACTATAGAAGGCAGGGTTCAAGGTCATGAAGGGTTTTTGTATACCAGGCCAAGATGGTTTTAAAAGAGAATTAAGTTTGACTATTCTTTCTTTTACAACTTTTATCCCTGTAAGATAGTGGTTTTCAAAGTACATATCATGTGGTCTGACAGGCAACAGAATCAGCATCACCTGGAAACTTGTTAGAAATGAAAATTCCTGGGCCCCACCCCAGACCTACTGTATCAGAAACTGAGCTAGAGCCCAGCAGTCTGTGTTGAACAAGACCACCAGATGACTCTGGTGCTCAAGTTTGAGAACCATTGTAGCACATTTTAGAATTCTCAAATAACAGCCTGCGTAATAGCTAAAGGTCACATTGCTGTAGTGATAATAATTTTATCTGTGACTTAATTCTGTTAAAGTACAAGGCTTAACAAAATTTAAATATTAATACCTTTTAAGGGACACATTTTCAGCATAATTTATTTGTTTCAAAATAAACCTGTTCCTCTGTTGCTGTTAAGAGAGGGCTGAGTCAGGACTAGAGTTTATTAAAGAGGAATGGTTTGGAAACTTACTGATTTTATTTTAATTAACAAAAAAGAGAAGCAATGAACCTCTTTTTTTTTTTTTTAAGTAAATTTGTTTTCTTTATTGATTTTAGAGAGAGAGACAGAGAGAGAGAGAAACATCAATCTGCCGCCTCCTGCACTCCCCCCAGCAGGGATGGAGCCCGAAACCCAGGCGTGTGCCCTGACCAGGAACCCAGCTGGACCTCAGCCCATGGGCGCTCAAGCACTGAGCCGCCCAGACGGCAGCCGTCAGCTCATCAGTACATAGACATAGTGTGGTGATGCAGCAAGGCACCCACAGCCGTCAGCTCATCAGTACATAGACATAGTGTGGTGATGCAGCGAGGCACCCACAGCCGTCAGCTCATCAGTACATAGACATAGTGTGGTGATGCAGCGAGGCACCGGCAGCCGTCAGCTCATCAGTACATAGACATAGTGTGGTGATGCAGCGAGGCACCCACAGCCGTCAGCTCATCAGTACATAGACATAGTGTGGTGATGCAGCGAGGCACCCACAGCCGTCAGCTCATCAGTACATAGACATAGTGTGGTGATGCAGCAAGGCACCGGCAGCCGTCAGCTCATCAGTACATAGACATAGTGTGGTGATGCAGCGAGGCACCCACAGCCGTCAGCTCATCAGTACATAGACATAGTGTGGTGATGCAGCGAGGCACCGGCAGCCGTCAGCTCATCAGTACATAGACATAGTGTGGTGATGCAGCAAGGCACCGACAGCAATCCCTTCGTTTCACAGAGGAGGACACTGAGGTCCAGGGAAGTGAAATAGCTGGTTTGGTAAAGGCCACATTAGCAGTGAGCAGCAGAACCAAGAGTGTATCAGATCTGCTCAGATTGTGATGTAAAAGGCACTGCTACATCAGACGTATTTCTGAGCCCCAGTTTGGTGTAACATTGAGGGTCCATATCATCCAAAGTAAAGTAGTCTTCAGATATATTAGCACCTAGATTATCTTGGGTGGGGTATCCTTTATGAAGAGTAGTTAGTGAAGTTTTATATAAAAGTTGTTTAAAGACCTTTTTTGTATTGATACAGTGGACTAAGTATCAGATTTGTCTTTATAAGAAAACCTAATAACTGTTCTTCAAAATTTACAAAAACACCAAGAAAAAGATATAGATCCTCGCTGCTCTTACTGTTTCAGTTAATACTTGGGAGAATATAAACCACCAGAGACAACAGTTATCCAGCCCTCTGTGTCTCTGTCATACAAATGCTACGCTGATATTTGAACTTGGGATATACTTACCAGCTAGACTACTTCCAGTTATTTCCAGGAAAAACTGGTTCAAACCGCATACCTTAGTAGGTGATTTTGCCAGCAATAGTAACCTACAATCAAAGCTTGTAGATCTGCCAGAATGTCAAGTTCCTTGTTAACCAACACTGCAAGTACCGTTTGCCCTAAAGCTTTCTGGATCATTCTTATAAGCCAGTTTTTAAAATGTTAAAATGCCAAATCTATAGAAGGAAAATCATCATCTGAAGTTTAACACAATAAGTAACTACGGGGATTTCCACCTGTAGCAATTTAGGATCTATAGTTGGTAAATGAAGTAGACTTACATAATAAGCTTTAAATTAACTATTTTTTGTTTTAAGTAAAACACAGATAGATGTTCTAATTTTAAGAATTGAAAGGGAGATTACATTTTTTAGAATAATTTAATGAAATATTCTAATTTTTTCCAGTGCATCTGGGGGAGGTGGTGTAGCCATTGACAACAAAATAGAACAAGCAATGGTAAGTAAAAGTTTATAGTCCTCTCGTTTTATATTGTTGTCTATATGAAGCACTTGGTTTTTATCAATTCTAAAAAACAAACACCTAATTTCTTTAAACCAAGATGACCTAAGTATATTTATTGATAATGAGATTTAGTTGTTAGAACATGGAGAGTTTTTAGTCTAAAAATACCAGTGGAGTAAATATTTTCCCCATTTGAACATCTCACATTTCATGCATTACCATTGACAGAGGGCCATTTTGGGGGGTATACATAATCAAAATGCATTATGTTCCCCCAAATATTTTCACATCAAAAATAGTTTAGAGACAAAAGAGCATTAAAATGAAAATGTCAGCTGGAAATTTTTGTCCTCGTTTGGTCATTTACAGACACTGTTTTACTCAGTTTTAATAAATACGACTTGTTTCTGTTGATCTGGTTACGATTTCTATTACTATCAAAAATTTTTGTTCCCTTAAAGATACTCTGCTCATATTATATAAAATATTTGGATTCAAGTTTATTAAAACTGTAGCAAAGCTATAAATAAAAGGACCATTGTCTCAAGCCATTAAACAACAACAACAAGGTTTTAAAGTTGGAAATTGCTATCACCTTGTCTCTTAAAGTGGTAGTACATAATTAGTGTAATATCAGAGTTTAATATCCTTCGTTCTCTTAGTCCAACATCTAAGCATGTGATTTTCGAACTTTTTTGAATTCTAAACTTGTAATTGACAATTTAAGGAGCTAGTATTTTTGGAAATCTCTCCAAACTTCGGAAAGAAAATCCTGGGCTTGCTGCCCAAGTTGGAAAGTGGATTTTTTCTACCCCGTTTCCCTTAGGACCAGTCAAGATACAGTAGAAGCATTAAACGCAAGAGCAGGAAAACGAACAAAAACACCTTATGTTTATAAGACACCAGGTAGGCAACACCTTTTCCTTTCTCTCCTTTTGACATTCCTAATTTTGTTTTCACAGGATCTGGTGAAAAGCCATTTGATGTATGCAGTAAGAGAAGAAGTGGAAGTTCTAAAGGAACAAATAAAAGAATTAGTTGAAAGAAACTCTTTACTTGAACGAGAAAATGCACTGCTAAAATCTCTTTCAAACAACGATCAGTTATCCCAGCTCCCAGCCCAGCCAGCCAATCCCGGCAGCGCCTCCCAGCCGCAGGCAGCCATAGCGCAGCCCCCGCAGCAGCCCAACGTCTCCTCCGCCTAGCTCCCTGCCTCCCTAAGGAGCCCCGAAGCCGCGTGTCCACTGCTGTTCTCCCCGCGCCCGCGCCCGCGGAAGCACGTAGCCATGCTTCGGCTGTGCGTCTGCCTTCTCAGTATTAGACAATCATTCTGCGAGAGCTTTCCTGAGACGTCGGCAGGCTGCCGCTGTCCGGGCTGCCGTCCGGGCTGGTCCTCAGCGCAGGAGTGATCGGTGGGGTTTGTAGGAGCCTCTGCATTGCCTGTGCGCAGGAGCGGGGTCCCGGAAGAGCTTTGGTGGCTCTTCCATGTGTCTGTCACCCACGGGTTACCCTGAGCCTTCTTACCATAGTATAAGTAACAGTTCATCTAAAGAGCCACTTTTCTTTCAATATCAGTAACATTTGCCTACATAAGTTTTCATTTATTTGTGTTTTATTTATTACAGGGCTGCTATTTTCATAATGTACATGAACAATGTCACAGAACTTTTTTAATTTTTGAATAATTATAAGTATCGGTAAAGGAATTGAAAGACAGGATTGCATTTAATAGATAAAACATTTAGGCAATAATTGAACAAAAGAATCCTGGCATATTTCTAACACTAACGGCAATTTATCTTCGGTATTTATTTTTAGTAGTAAAGACGCAGCTTGAATGTAAATTTGTATAGTGTAAGTATGAAGAACATAGTGCAGCTGTACAGGTAGTCACCAGTTATTGTGATATAATAAATAATTGGGCTATTTTGATGAAGAAAATTTTGTTCATTTGTTTCTACTTTCTAATAGAGAAATTGCCACGATTCCTCTGCTTTTTGACATTTCGTATGACTTTTGGGGGGAGGGTGGGAATAAAAAGCTGTGAAATTGTTCAACCTACTTTGTAACCAAAGAAGCAAAGCTGTGTAATGGAGTTTTTTGTTTTTCGTTTTTTTTTTTTATAATGCACATTCTTTATGTATTTTTATTTAGTGTTTTCTTGGTCACAATTTTCTTTGCTGTCTAGCATGATCTGCATGCCCTATACTCTTTGAACCACTTTCGTACCTCATGTTTTCTCCAGCACTCTCATTGTAAGATGTACCAGTCTGTGAACAATGTCAGATAAAACAGAACAGGTGGTGTGGTGGGGCTGAGCTAGTGCCCTGTGCACTAGTTGTAAAATACAAAAAAATGAAGTGAGCCATCTTCTGTTCATTTAAAATGGTGTTTTGAATTTCGTATGCAGAAGACGTTTTGTTACATTGCAGATTTTAATGTATTTAATAAATGCAACATGCAGATAAAGTGCAGTGTATACTGAGTATTTAAATTAAAATGTACATTTCATAAATATAGTTTCAAGAGAAAGCATCATTTTGTGTATACTAACACATTAAGTGTATGTCAGAAATTGATGTATAAATATATATTTTAACACATTTTCTGAAATTAAACTGCAGTTTTGTTGAAATATTTGGCTCTATATGTGTTCAAAATTTAATTTAATTAGATTTGTATTTTCATAGTTCAAAATATTTCTTAAATGAAAACCTATGTTACTAGTGACTTAATGGTAGTTCTTAAATTTTCAAAGTAAAATAATTCAAAGAATGCAAGAATGGTGAGCAATATTAGTACTTAATGTTCATATTATGTCAATGACATTTAAGTAGGAAATCCTTGTCTACCAAAACATTTACTTGAATTCAGAAAGGTGCCTATAGAAACTAACATGCTCTGTGTCTATCGCCAGCTAGCTAAGAGGAGTTACCGAGAACCCAGAGTTAGCTCTTCCTGTTGACAGAGGATAAATAAGAGTTCTCTGTCCATCTAAAAGAAAAACTTACCAGTTTAGCCACAAACTAAATGCATAAAATCGGGTATATGTGGGATTACCAAATATTTTATATTCTAGTTTTGCTGCAAGATATATTGTTCAATATGAACAAATTTTCATGTTAATGGGTAACATTAGAAATAACGAAAGGAACTAAGCACATAGGCTTAAAAAGCAACCCTGAAGACGGAATGGAGTGAGGTTTTAAGTCGAGCCTCCACAGATGAGAGAGAGTGGGACTCCGTGTTGGAGTGTTGACCAGGAGGCCCACTCATTGTGCCCTCAAGTGTGAGCAGCGCGAGATCTAGTACAGGTGGAAGGGAACTAGTACTGGAGAAGGTGGGAGTTTGTGGAAACACAACTTCTGGTTCTGGGGATAAAAAAATACTTTAAACATAAAAGTAATAGTCACAGAGGAAACAACGTTAGTTTAAAATGATAATTAGAAGCAATTACTACTTTTATATTTTAAAAAAAATTTTTTTAAATGGATAGTTCACAGAATAAATGACAGTTTCTAGTAACTTAAGACATGCAAATTAATAATTAGAAAGTTATTTGTATTTTAAAACAGGACCTAATGTAGAAAGGCAAGCTTTCCTGTGTACTTCTAGAAAGTAGTTTGGCAATATGTACATCAAGAGCCTTAAATATTAACACTTTTCAGTTTAATGACATGAGAATATACTCAACTCATGGTGCAATGTTCAAAAAATGCTAAGTTATAATAGTCCACTGCTCTTTTCCCTCTCTTCTCTCTGAACCCAACCTTCCCCCATGTACAGCCCCAAAAATAACCGAAAGGAAGCGTTGACAGCCAAGCCTGCACTCAGAAGGCGTACGTACACCGAGGGGACATCAGGCAGGCTCCCGCTGGCGAGTTTGTGTAGGATCTGAAGTCCATTCCAGCCTGCCCTCGGAGATATGGGGTCTTCTGCTCCGCAGCCTCCTGGGATGTGACTTGACAGATGCCAGCTCAGGGCGCGGTGTACTGCCCGTAGGCCAGGGGGCCCTGTAAGTGTTCCCCGTTTGCTTCAGCCAACCAGAAAACCGTAGGCAGAACGTTTTGTGTCTGATACGGCAAGTGTCTGCGATGCAAACCTAACTTTCCCCAAAGAAAATTCCCTTTAGGTCGATAGGATGTGATTCTACAGCTCGCTGCAGCCCGTGTGCCCGAGGTCGCTGGGTATTTCCAATGCGGTTTCCAAAGTTCGGAGCTGAGGAGGAGCGTTAAGAATGCTTCCCCCAAGTTCCAAACTCTAGGCATCCCTGGGCCTTTTTAAAAAGGTGCGGGTGGGGGCTGAAGAGTAGAATGACCGAAATACCTGTTCTTCGTGGAAATTTCTGTCTGTAGAACCAGAAATAGCTAATTTTCTGGAAACCAGTCTTTAAGATGCTCGGAAGTCACTTTTTCTTTCTTGAAAGGCAGCTTGTGGTTCAGTGGCAGGCTCTTTGTGATGACTCCGTTCTCTTCAATAATCCTGCTAAAAGGACAAACCCCGGCCCGGGAGGTTCATAGTTTAATTGAGGGTATAGGCACGTCGTCAGACAGGATGCAGTAATAATCCAGACATACAGTCAAGGATGGCTGTCGGGAGGCTTCCTCAAGACATGACACCCGATTGACACTTGAAGGGCGCTCACCGGAGTAAAAGACGGTTCGGGTTTTTAGAACATAGCGCTCCTTGGTCAGCCACAGGTCTGTCCCTCTGCAGGCGGGCGCCGTGCCTCACCCGGCTCCGCGGCCTGTCTCCCATTCGGAGAGGAAGAGTGAGTATCGAAGGCTCAGCGGTGGGTTTGTGGTCCGATGTGCATTGTAGAAAAATTAATCACTCTGGGGACAGATGGGAGATAGATTGGGGGCTGAAACGAAGCTGAGAACGAATCAAGGAGGAACAATGATCCAGGAAAGATGAGGAACAAGCACAAGTACAGAGGCAGTGTGGTGACGCCCGTGGAGGAAGTCCGTCCGGGGTCGCTCTGTGCCCTTTCTCCTCCACAGTGGACGTCCCGCTCCCAACACCGGGGTCCTGTCTGTGTTGCTGCAAGGGAAGGTCAGAGGCCAGAAGTCTGAGAAAGTCGCAGTCAGATTTTTCCTCCCAACAGTCATAGATCTCTTACAAAAGTCTTTGTTTCCTGTTAAAGAAATCTCAAGAACTTAGCAAAAGGGGCGTGGGAGTGGGGACCGGAGGCGGCGTGCCTGTCCCTTTATGCCTGTGTGTGGACTCAGCTGTAAAGGTAAACCAAGTTGAGTCTGTTTATGGTGACGGCGTAGAGTGGCATTAATCCAGAGCCCGTCCCTCAGAGCCATGCTATCCCTTCCTCCCCAGAAAGGGTAACGGGGGCCAGAGCCCCCGTTGCGGGTGCTGACGGCCCACGTCGGACGAGGCTGAGCTAGGCTCCCTCCTTCCTTCTTCGTAGTTCGGCTCCGCTTCCTTCCCTAAGCCCAGGTGAGGCTGCACCTTCTCTCGGCCGCCTCCTGCCTCAGGCCCAGCAATCCAGGTTTCTATTTCGAGCCAGAGTAACAGGTTACTATTTAGTCCCATATACGTGACCCCTATTTTTCCTTTAGGACATTCCAGAATGCACCTGTTTCATATACTTCTGTACCAGGTCACGGGATGTCTATAGCAAGATCTGTTCTCTGAGTGCACCTGTTTCCCTTGTCAGTGCAGAGGTGAGTGGATAGCGCAGTTTGACAGCTTCCCGGCCGGGCTGCGTGGTGTGTCCTGCTGCATTCAGATGGAAAGGGCTAAGCGAGACTAGACAGCAAGCGAAGGGTCAGAGACATTCGTTGTTTCCTTTTTTTTTTTAATTAACAGAATCATCATAAAGTAAAGACAGTCTTTCAAGGTTGGTCAAGGAAAAGAAGCTGGCATTTTGCACTGGCGTGGTCTACACGCCGTAGAATTTGTTCAACATGCGTAGATGGTAAATCAGCTGTATTTTCCTTCTCCTCACCGGGGAGAGTGATAGAGGAGGCAGTTTGGGGAATCTTCCCATGGTCTGATGACATGGGTTGAGCTGTAAAACACAGCTTCTAAGTTTATGGACTAAGACAATGTCCCCAGAAGCCAAAGGCACCCCTTTGAAAGTGGGAAGGGAAAGGTGTGCATGAAAATAACTGAGACAAATGCCACACTGTTCCTTTCCCGTTAACAAAAAGGAAAAAGCTGAGTTTATCTTTTCATTTCATTCTTTTGTGTGCCTGAGCTATTTCTACACAACTGTGAAGTACTCTTGCCTGCCACCATCTGAGCCGATTTCCAGACCACAGTTTTTGCTCTCGTTTCACACGCTCACACGCATTTATCGATACATTGTGCCTGAGGAAGTCCACAGACAGCAAGGGCACGTTCTCCCCACACTGGGGCACGAAATAATATCAGGTCCGTGTATAATCCTCGTGTGCCTACTAAACAAAGATACATGTCGTTTAATCACGTGGCCAATGGACAGGAAGAAACGAATATGTGTAACTTTGTAAAGCCCCTAAAATGAAGGCTTTGTTTGGAGAAGTTTGGGTCTTATTTTTGTCGTTTGTAGAAGCGCTGTTGAAATGCGATGGATTCTGTGTCTGTTCAGGCACCGCACACTGTGCTCTGCCTTTGGGGACAGAAAGATGAATGGGACATGATTAGTGCACCTTGGGAGCTCATCGTCCAATATAAAAGTAAAAGCTAGAGTCGCCGCATTGCTTATTCTAAGTCTGTGTTGTAGCTTGTGGAGCTCATTATCATTTGTGGGGTGCAAGGGTCACAGAACTCAACGGTAACGCTGTCATGCCGCATGAAACTGTTCGACACTGCCAAGAAGCAACTTGAAATCACCAAACAGCTTTAATGTCAAATAGAAGAGGGGACCTGGTGCAAAGCCTCCCCCATCTCTGCATTAAGCCTATTTGGTGTCCCCTAAAAAAGAGGAACCAATCTGAGAGAAGTTTACACATTTTTTTAATACTCCAAGTTCATAGAGGACGGAACTGATTTAAATCAGACTTAACTAGAATAGGATTTGTGTCATGAGTCTCATAAGCAACACATTTTCTTGGCTGATAAAATCAGCTACCATTCAATGAACACAAGTTAATAACTAAGGTGACTGATACCGAAATAAACTGATCGAGCTGGGAATCTGGAAACAAAAACAAATATCCACTGAGTAAATGATCAAAGTGACATTTCAAATCAGTAGTGGAAGAATAGTTTGTTTAATAAATAGTATTGAAACAACATGGCCACTTGGGGGGGGAATGAATTTAGGTCTCTAACTCATAAAAATTAATCCCAGCTAGACTAGCGGGGAGTCTTGCTTTTCAGTCACATCCGCCTGTTAGAAATCTCCCTGTGAAATGCACCAAGCAAAACGTTTTACAAATGGGTTATGAAGAGATGTCCAGTCTCAGCAAGATAAAGGAAATGCACATTAAAACACAAGACACCGTCTCAGACCCGATTGGCAACTATTTCAAATACGTATAAATCAAGCGCCGGCAAGGGTGTGGAA